AGCATGAAGGATGAGAATGAGTTGTCCTCAATGGTGTGACACCTGGTGTATACCACTCACTCCAAGACAGCTCTAGGCTCAGTAATATTTAGCCAAAACAAACTGGACTTGATGGAGGTTGGGGGGATGTGAAATTATGGGAAGTTGGGTGGGTGGGTATAAGAAATATCAAATATGAGTCTTTCCCATCAAATACTATAAAACTTGTGTTTAGGATAAACAATTCAAATCCTTTTTATCTCCCTCTACATTGTAAGACTTTTATGCAAATGTTTCCCCCACTGTTGTGGGAAGCCCATCAGAGAAGACCACTCAGACACAGTCTATAGCAAACTGAAAGTCTTTATTCCAACAAGCTGGGACTACACTCAGATATTCAGCACCTTAGTGTAGCCCCAAGTATTTAGGAAAGGGGACTTTTAATGCAAACTCTACATCCTGTTATCTTGCTCTACAACTGAAGGGGGAGGTTTTCACAAGCAGACAGTTTAACAGAAACTAAGACAAGCTAGCTGGGACATCTTGACTTTGGGTTCCTAGAACAGAGTTGGGTAACTTTCCATGGGGCTTCCCATCAAGGAGATCAAATTCTAGTTAAACCTGAAACGGCCTCAGCAAGAATATGAGAGGGAGGAACCCCTGCACTGATCACCCTGTCACATTCCCCACTGGTTTTATGGGCATGAGTCAAATCATTGACTCATCCTGTTCTGGGGGAAGAGCATAGTTGGTCCTAAGGACACATAGCTTAACTGAATTTATCCTCTATTTGATGTAGTTATCCATGCAGTTGAGGATGCAGGGTCCTACTGTAAGCTGGATCAGGAAAAAAAAATCAACTATCTAACTAATGTTGACAGTAATGTGGTCAGCCATGGGGACCAGGTAAACAGAGATGGATACCAACTATCTGATCTTTGTCTCCTTCCTTCCCTTTTTTGAGGTTTTCTCTGACCATGGGAAGGTCTTCCCTGATCACCCCTGATTGGCACAAAAACAATGGGTTTCTCCTAAGGCCATGCAAAGTCCTCATTTCATAAAATGGGGTCCAGCTCCAGTTCTGTAGGACTGTGTCTGTAAGGGAGTCCAGTCAACTTGGCTCTCCAGCCTGGAAATGGACTTCTCCAAATGGCCTATGTCTCTGTCTGTCTGAGAACTGAGTTCCCTAATGTGTTGATTCCCAACAATCAAGGCTGAGGTGCCTATGGCACTTGCACCAGCTATTCCTGCCTCTACTAGGATTGGGACCAGAACTGGGACCTCTTTGACCCTCATGAACATTGAGTCAAGGCCAGCATGAGCTCTTCCCTCTTCTCCATTATTGGCATATATCTGGGGGATAACATAGACCGGTATACACAGAATGGGGCTATGACTCTCCAGTGAGTCAGAGGAGGCACATTTAGTCAAATCATTAGTACAAGCAAACAAGGTAGATTCAGGGCCATGAAAGAATCTGTAATTCTCTAGGCTCGTGTTGATTCTTTGGGCATTTGAGCAAACCTTATAAGGTGAGGAAGCAAGACTGTAATTTGAGGACACGATGTAGGTACCTTGTCCTTGGCAGGATGATTCACCCTCATCAGGGCATACATAAAATTGTAGTCCCTGGAGGTCTTTTTCTAGCCAGTCTTCTCCACAATGTGATTTGGTAACCCCTATCCCTTCCCCAGAGCCTCACCATTTCACCCCTGGAAAGGGACATAAGAGAGCAGAGTTCCACCTGAAAGTTTCCCATACCCAGCTTTTCCGAGTTCCCATGTCCAGATTTGTGGTGGATGAGGATTTGTGTAGGCCAGGTTACTGAACTCTGGTCAGTCTTATCTTTAATGTGTCCAAGTTTGACGGTCCATCTCTCATTGTCTTCAGTGGCTTTTTTTTTTAATTGGGGATGATGAATCCAGGGGATGACAACAACCATTTCACAGCAGTTGGGGTGGTGAGAATAACTGAGTAGGGTCCCTTCCAGACAGGTTCCAGGGTACAGGCAGGGATCCTCTTTATCCAAATCAAATCTCATGGCTGGTACTGGTGGGAGGGTTTGGAGGTAGGAGATGGCAAGATTCCTTTCACAGTCTGGTCAATGGTCTAGTGAGCTTCCTGCAAAGCCAGCAATGACTTGAGAAGGGAATGATTTGAAGTTTGTGCTGGGGAATATCTCAAGGTTTGGGGAGGATGGGAGGTGTCTCCCAAACATAATTTCAAAGGGTATAAGCTCCTCCAAGTAAGAAGCACATTGGATCCTGAGCAGGACAAAGAGGAGGAGCTTGGCTCAATTTTTGCCTGTTTCTGCAACCAATTTGGTCAGAGTTTTCTTAAGAGCCCTATACCTGCTCTCTATCTGACTTAATCTCTGTTGCCTATAAACTCAATGTAATTTCTAATTAATATTTAATACCTTTGTCAGATTTTGAGACACTCTGCCCATAAAGGCAAGGCCATTATTGGGCCCCAAAGCCTGGGGCAGTCCAAACCTAAGAATTATTTCCTGAAGAAGTTCTAAGTTACCATTGCAGGAGTCTCTATTCAATTAGGCTAGATTTCTACCAATCTCAAGAACATGTCTACAAACACTAGCAAGTATCTATAGACCCAAACAGTAGGCCCTATAAACATCTGCTAAGATCTGTTTACATGTAGGCCCCTGTTGCATTCCAGGAATTTGATGGCCTGGAGCAGCAACTCTTTTTTTTCCCCCTTAGAACAATGACCCCTTCCTCCTCCATTTCCTGTGTGCAATTCTTTTCAGACTAGCCAATCAGATAAGACTGTGAGGTTGGACCCCAGCCAGTAGAGAAAAGACTCAATCTCTACTTGAGTTAGAATAAAAGCCAAGTGTGCTTCCTGTGTGTTCACTCTTTGGGGCATGCCCTCTTGATCAAGAGCGAAGTCTGCTACTCCAGATACCTCTGTTGGAGAGGTGGTCTCTCTCTTTCTTTGACATCCTGAATTTATTTCTAACATTAGGGAGGTGGGAGACGTGAGAGGAGTTATGAAGGGGGAAGAATGTAATTAAAGTACATTGTATGAAAATTCTCAATGAATTCATAAAAGCATTATTAAAAACTTAAATCTTAAAACAAAAAGGAGAGCAAAATAGAATAAACCAATTCTTAAGGGTTGTTTAGCTCTAGTATTCTGGACAGAATGTATCCAATTCCAAGTTCCCAGAATTTCCTATGTTCTTTGTCTAGGTATAGGTGCTTTCCTATGTTATAAAGGAGAGAGTTACATAATAAAATATACAATTCTGACTCCTAATAAAGTCACACTAAAGCTTAGTAGGCTCTAGACGATAGGTGGATTCTGTTTCCAAGATGGACAAAGTAATGGGGTCCTAAGGATAGAGTGTCCTGCTTCTCATATTTTTTCCATTTGACTAGACTTCAGAGGGACCAAATTTCCTGTCTAGAATTTCAGACTGGATTAAGCATGCCTTTAAAATGCCTAGTTCAATCCCTGACCTTCCCCCTCCCCAAAACAGCAACTCACTCTATTGCATCTGTGAGAGACATGCCCCACTTGGGTGCCTATGTTCCCTGCTGGATAATTTACACATGAAAGTAAAAGTTGATATACAATCCCAAGGCTTCCAAAGCATTAAGAGCTCTGTTTCTAAATGTCAGAGAAAGAACTCCACACTCTGGATGTTTCTACCTTTGCAATCTGCTAAGGCAGATGGCCACCTTCCGAAAATGGTCCTTACCAGGCTTGTAAGCAAGGGCAGTTTTCAGACACTCACAAAGCCAAAGACAAGCAGGATCCTGAAAAATGGAAGGTACTGAGATCGGGTAGAGGAGCCCAGTACACACATTTGAAGCTGGTTGCTGCAGTCCAGAGGACTAGGGGCCAGTTTCTTTCCTGGTTTTGTGAGTCTATAAACATTGGTGTGGCTTACTCACTTAGTATTTCTCTCACAAACACCTCCTCGTACCAGCCCTTAACTTGTCCAATCGGCAGAACACCTGGGACGACACAGGCTGCTGTGACATCTCACTGAAATATCTCTCAGGTGAGTAGTAATTCGTTCAGCTTGGTCTTCTCGTCTGTTCCCCGAGGCACTAGGGAATCCCTAGCTCAGACTGCCAAACTGGAGGTTTACTACTGTCCCCTGGCTCTCGTACCCTGTGCCAGCCCACAGCAAGCCTCCTCGGCTTCTCTCCAGGCCGTGAGGTAGGTATGGACACTGCAGATCTTGAAGTCACAGAGACCCAGGTTCAAATCTTACCTCTGTTTACTTGTCCGTAACTTTGGGCAAGGGTCCCTAACCCTGGGCATGCTGTCTTGCAAAATGCCAGTGTTAGAAGTTGGGGGTGACAAGAAAAGAGAACGGGGCTCACATTTTAGTGTCTGGACAAGGCAACCGTTAGTTACTCCTGGTCAAGAGGGTATTCTCAGGGACTAAACACACCCGGGCAGAAAGCAAGTTGGTTTTGCATCTAACTCGGGTGGAGACTGTGTCTTCCCCCTTTGGCTGGGGTCTCACATCACAGTTTAAAGATGAGCCGGTGTCAAAAACACCTGGGTGAAGGGAAGAAAGGAAATCAGAATGGGGTCAGCCACTTAATTTACCTATGCTCCCAAATGTAGCAGGGCCTTTGCATAAACACTTTCCTGGGTGGAGGGTGTTAAAATATTTGCATACAAAGTGGAGGAGACAAAAAGCTTTGAATTCTTTGTTGCAAACACAAGTTTTATAGTCTGAGAGAAAAGACTCATACTTAATGTTTTTTTACACCAGGAAAATTCCCCTGCTAGGGGCTCGCAGTGCGGATTTATCAGGGTCATCAGGTGACTGGGGACACAACCGCCTCCAGCTCTGCTCAGATCTCCACCAGGCCACCCACTAGCATCCATGGGAATAAGCGCCGTGTCTCGGTCACTAGGCACTCCCTTATTTCAATCCCCACACTTGTGGTTTGTTTACAATAAAAATTATAAGGAAGAGAAAGAACAAAAGAAAGGCACACCAGAGCTGGTTACTTGGGCATTTCAGCATGGCCTGTTAAGACAGCGGTGGGACTCTGCTGCCTTCTGCCTTTTCAACAAGGAACTGCTCCAGCTACCTTGGAAACCGAAAGCTAAAGAAAGGAAATGGAAACCGAAAGTTAATGAAAACCAAGAGAATCGGGAAACTGAATCTTCTCTTTCTTCCAGAATTGAGCAAGACAGCCATCTGCTTACTAAGCCTGGTCCTCAGCTTCTGCCTCTGAAAATGTCCTTCTCACCGCCCAGTACCTGGGAGAAGATGTTTCAAGAACTGATGCAGGAGGAGAAACCCAGGGCCAAGTGGACCTTCCAGTTGGATAAGAACATTTTACCCAACGTCATGGCCATGGGATGGCGGCAGTACTTGCAGACAGGACTTGGCAGGTGAGTGGGATTTGGCAGCTGGTCCTCCTGAAGACCCCACTGAGTTCAAAATAGCGACTGGCAGCTTGCTATCATAAAAGCAAGAACAAGTGTGGCTAGCTAGGTTCCCCAGTCTTTTACGGTCATGGAGCTGGTTAGGGTCCCCTGGGCTCCAAGCCTCTACCCTGTTTAATATAGGAAGATTTTGTATCCTACCAGGTCTCCTTGTAAAAATATTTCTGGAGTCCTTGAAGAATGCCTCCAAATTCCTCCCAACATATTCCTTCCTTCTCTCTTCTACTGGATCCCCAGCCAGAAAAGGCCTGGTTCTGGAGCCACCTGCTCACCCCTCTTATCAAGAGAAAGCATAATAAAATCCATACAATGGAAAAATGGATTTATCTACAATTTGGACATGGCTGTTTTTAACCTTTCTCTGCCTTCCATGTAGCAGTGTTATAGTTTATAGAAAAGATGAGACAAAATCTGCATGAACATGTCACCAGAAATGTTGGGGTGCCCTACTATAGTTGCTTAATGACACCAGGAGAGGTAGGGTTCATTCTTTGGGTTCTTAATTTCTTCAGTAAGAGAATTTTAGAACAGACAGGACACTCAAATGAAAGTTTGAAGACAATTTTACTAGAGTTTCAAAGTAAAATCACTGGGTAGGCAAGCTGTAAATCTCGGTGGCTGCCTGGAGGAGGAGAACGGAGAAGGGGCAGAAAGGCTCTGCCCTGTGAGCTAAGTTGCCGTGGAGCTGTGTGGTGGTAGACAGCCACATGGCAGGGATGGGACATACAGAGAACAAGTAAGTAAGGCCAGCGTCATGGAAAGCATGCCTAGAGCAGAGGTGGGAAGGAAAAGCTATGTTTTCCTGAGTAATTTGGGGAAGTGGACAGACTTATACAGCCAGGCAATAAGAGTTGCTGAGTTGGGTTTTGTGAGCTACAGCCATAAGGAGCAGGAATTCTGGGAAGAAATGGTCACTATCATTAAAAGGACATCCCATTTATCCCTGTAGCATGGCTTAAGGTGAACCTGTCTTCTTAGGGATGGTCGGTCAATTGGCCAGGTGCTTGGCTGTCCAGCCAGAATGTTATCCACCCAGGCCAGAGATTCTCTTCTCTTGACAAAAAAGGGTTTGCCCTTAATGGGCCTTTGTTGCTATTCTAACACATAGATTTAGTTGTGGGATCTGTGAGAGTTGACCTTCTCAGGAGATACAAATTATTTTACTCAGGGGCAAAAACTTCTAGGGAAGGACTTCTCCACTCCTAGCATGGTATTTCCTGACGTGACCTGGAAGTGAAAAATGGAGGGGAGGGATCAAATTTTAACGGAGTCTCTAATAGGTTTTCTGTAGTGCAATAATAGGTTTCTCTGCCGATGCAGTAAGCCAGGTCAAGCTGAACTGAAAAGGTAAAAGAACAGGGTTATTTTGAGCAAAGCAACCCTCCCCCCAGTGAGTTCTCTAGCCCCAGAGATCATTCTGAAGAAGTCACATGCCCAAACTGAAGCAGGTAGCTTATATAGCCTGTAGGCAAATGGTGACGATGTGTCCACCACAACTGGGTTTGTGCACAAGTATGTATGGTCAAAAGCTGAGCACTTTAGGTGGGGACGTCAGCTGTTGGCCCCTTCAGGGGAGGAGCTACTGCAGTCATCCAGAATGTGGAACTGGGCTTTTTGGTGTTGGAGATTTTCTGAAAGGCTGGGATTTGGAGGGAGATGAATGGGGCTTTCTGGATCAAGCAGAAGTGAGCTGGAGGGTCCCAGCTGAACATCCTGACCTTTTTGGGTATATGGGTGCCAGTTCAAATCTGGATACTTCCTGTTGGCATGGGACAATGTGGGGAGGGGGAGTCAGGAGTCAGTGAGCTTATGTTTAGTGGGAAGCATGGGTGAAGAAGCATTCAGTTAACTACCACCCTGGAGACCTCAGGAATCCATTCCAGGAAGAAGCAAAGAAGGCAAGTTGCTAGGAGAGAAAAAAATAGATTATTACCACTGGCCCTATGAACAGGGCTAGCCATGGGAAGAGTGGAGACTGCCAGAAAGAATGGAATGGAGATGTGCTCTGGTTGTATTGACAAAGTTCTTCAGACAAACATGTGGAGTGATTCGATATTAGTTTCTACCAGGCCAGATTCCATGATACAGTAGCAGAACTCTTTCCCCAGGAACTGCAGGTGCCTGTAAAACAGCTGGAACAGATTTACACCTTGGTGTCATAGCAAAGACTATGGCTTTGGGTTAAAAGGCATGAACATTTTAAGGGAAAATATATATAGCTCAGGAGACAAAAGGGATAAAGGTGAATGAGAAATACATAAGAGCAGATAGGCTTGACCATCATGGCCCCTCAATGGAACATTCTAGAAAACCAGAGGGTGCAGGGTCCCAGTTGCCGGACGGACCATTCATCCTGGGTAGGTAACTACTTGAGCCTGGAGAGGTGGTAACAGCACTGATGTCCCAGGAACTTGGCAGCTGAAGGGGTGGTGAGGATTACAGTGTAGGGTCATGTCCTCCAGGGCTCTAGAGACTTAGGAAATAACTGCTTGGGGAATACCCCATCCCCTGGGGAAAGTGGGGTGGGCTCGGGAGCAGATGAGTCTGTTAGTATGGGGGCAGGAAGATAATTGTCAGCATGTGAACTGAGAAGGGACCATAGGAGGGAGTGGTCGGGTAGGGTCTAAGAGGGGCTCTAAGAAGTGGAACAAAGCCTTGGGACCTATGTAAGATTTGGTGGATATCTAAAATGATCTAGAGTGCCTGATCCTGGGATGATGAGGTCGTTTTTTTTTAAGGAGAGCCATCTGTCTTTTGTCTGTGTGGTTCCTTTATTTAGGAGTTCATCCCTCTTCTCTAATTGATGACAGGGCTGATAGGAGGGTGTCAAAAACAAAATATATCCTGTAGATTCAGTGGGGCTAGAGGCCACTCCCTGGGTTTTTGGAGGACTAATGTCCCCAGCAGTAGATTTTGGATACCTCTGCAGGGAGCTGGAGGGCCTCCAAGAGCTCGTCTATAAGGGGTCCATTGACAATGGGAGCACCCTTGGTAGTGAGGAAGCCCCTTTCCTTCCAAAGGACAGAATCGGTATGGGCTATTAAAGAGGCATATTTAGAGTTGGTGTAGATGTTAGCTACTTGGAGTGCTCTACTCAAGGAGATTAATTTGGCCTTTTGTGAAGAGATCTCCATTGGCAGGTGAGTTGCTTCAACTGTTTCAGTAGAAGTTACTCCCATGTAAGCCACCTGGTGGTTTCCTAATTTGTCTATAAGAGAGCTTCCATCAACAAAGAGGCTGAGTTGGGGGGTGTGTGTGTCTGTGAAGGGTTGGTTTAGGAGACCAGGCCGGGTAAGAAGAAGGCCTCCACAGCCTTGGGGCAGGAGTGGGAGGGAGTATCAGAGGAGGAAGGGACAGGGAAGAGGTTTGCAGGGTCCTGTGAGGCAATTAAGGGAAGAAGATGGGAGTCAGAAGAGAGTGTGGGAGCCAAGGAGAGGGTGTCCCCAAAGTACCAGAGGATATCGTGGCCAAGAAATGGTACCAGACAAACAGGTATGACCAGAAAATAGTGTGTGAAGAAGCATCCTGCAAGAATGCAGGGAAGTGCCTGGTGGTAGTGGCGCTCGCCTTTAATCCCAGCACTTGAGAGGCAGAGGCGGGCAGATCTCTGTGAGTTCAAGGCCAGCCTGGTCTACCGAGTGAGTTCTAGGACAGCTAAGGCTGTTACACAGAGAAACCCTGTCTCAAAAAACAAAACAATACTGCTACTACTAATAATGCAGGGAAGAGGCAAGGTCTTAGGAGGAAAGGAGGGGGTCTCATACATCTCCAGGACAGAAATTGGTTGAGGGAACTGTGGGACCCAAGTGAGAGGTCAAGAAAGGTAGGCCCTATGTCCACCAGGAAGGTGATGGACTTACCCACTACCTGGAGCATTACCCTAGGCCTGGCGAGGGTGATGGGAGTCTCCAAGTCTAGATACCATCAGTTCTCTGCCAGGCTGTGGAGCTCAAAGGCTGGAAGAGTCTCAGATGCCTGTGCTGGCAGGGCTGGACCTCCATGGTATGGCACAGAGGACAAACCCACATGGCGGCATTCCATCTTCCACTGGGCAGGCTGCTAGCAGACAGGGCATGGCCTTGTTGGCAGCTGAGGGTTGGGGCAGCATTGGGACCAATGACCTTCCTGGTCGATTTTGAAGCAGGCCCCTGGTGGAGTGGACTTTGGCTGGGCTCAGGCAGGATGGAGCCTTGTGGGCTTTCCCTGTTCCGTTTGCAGGGGTGCCGATGGGCTCAGAGCAGCTGCTGAGGCATGAGCTTGGAGCATAGCATTCTGTTGCTGCCGAGCCTGTCAGGAAGACTCGGCTGCCTCCTCTCGGGTGTTAAAAACCTTACACGCCATTTTCACCAATTCCTGTATGGGGATTTGAGGACCATCCTCAGCCTTTTAAAATTTCTTTCTAATATCTGGTGATTACTGAGAATTGAAGAGGGTATCCAGGACTGCGGCTCCTGCTGGGGAGGCTGGGTCAAGGCAGGTAGAGCAGGTGGTTAGGAACCTAGTATGGTAGGGTGGAAGAGCAGACAGAAACAAACAGGGAGGTAGGATTGGTTGTGGGTGGAGCGGGTGGAGCGGGTGGAGCGGGTGGAGCGGGTGGAGCGGGTGGAGCGGGTGGAGCGGGTGGAGCGGGTGGAGCGGGTGGAGCGGGTG